TTATATTTTAATTTTGTGTTTGTAAATTCTGACCATTTAATTAAGTTATTGTTAATTATCTATTGATTAAATGTAAGTGGCTATTGTTTGGGATGAACAATACGAAGGAAAGGGCAGTGTTATGACAGCAGAAGCCATGCAACGCTGGGAGCATGCACACTGGAGTTTTTCGAAGGACCATGAATTTGTCCACCAGCTTGAGTGTGATCTAGATGCCCTCTTTTTTAGTATATATAAGCCTGGCAAAGAAAGGTAGCGGAGATAGATAATTGAGTCAAGCAAACAGTAGGCACCGTAAGTAAAGTGTGTGAATCACTGTGATTTATAGCGTGTTATAAAAGTTGTTAAGTTTAGAGTGACGAGGTACGTACTCACTGTGAAATTACTGTGTATTAAAATTTAGAAAGAATAAACTGGGTTAATCAAGAAAGGACTTGTATCGCTAAAGTTTCTCCGAAATAATTTATACCGGAAATTGACAAACAAGCAGATACGTAACAATATCACAATGCAGTAGTACTTATCACTTGACTATCAGCCCATGTTTTATCTTAATCTTCACTTTACTTCAGCTAATAGTGTTTTTCTTTCATTCAACTTCACATCAAGTCTTATATCTTTCATTCCACCTATAACAAATTGCTATACCTGTCCTTCTGCATATCAGACCTATGAATCTCCAGTTATTGCAAATATTTGGTATCTATGTGCTAGGTTTATCCTTGGAATACGATATATACAAAAGGTTTGGATTTGACAGTAAAGTAGAGGTGAGTATTGTCTTCCTATCACCTGTCAGTTTAGTTGTTTGTTTTTATTTTTACTTTTTTCTTAATCACCAAAAGAATTCATAACTGGACTATAATTTTTGGATATGAAATATTTTTCTAAACTGTAAATGACATTTAGGAATTAATAAAACTGATTATTGGTCCTTTTATTCTAAAGATTTATACAATATGGAACAGAGTTAGTGATGTTAGTCTCACTTCTATTAATTCATTATAATGCATAAGTTTTTTTAATTGCTAATAAATTACAAATCTTGAGAATACAATTAATCAAGTCTTGTTTCTCTTATAATTTCTTTCTTTCATAAGCTTCAGTTCACACCATATGCTATGAAGTCATAAAAGGGTGGAAACAAGAGTTGGGCAATTAGTAGATTTTGCTAATTAATCACTCTCACATGAAACTAATCTTCCAATTTTCAATTTGTTTTGGGTTTTTTTTTAAAGACATTTTCAAACTACCTTTCATCTAATATGATAGATATTTTAAGTTTAGCAATTTAGGATAAGTTACTTTTTTAATCCTAAACTGTTGCACTTTATAATATATCATACATGCAACATCATGTAAGAAGCTGCAAGTATCATTAGTACTGTTCAGTGTTTCTCCCAATAAATTTTCACAAGAATACTCTATTAAAATTAATTCCTCATTAAAAATATTAGATCGTCAAGAAATTAATGTCGCTTTTTTTAGATGAAAAAACCCGAACAACTTATATATCAAAATAAAACATTTATTAAATGAAATAGCCTCCATATCAATGATGCTTTTCCATCTTACAATCAGGTTGTTAATGCCCTGATTAAAGAAATCACTTGGCTTTGAAGCAAAAACATGGCACTGTCCTCTTTAACACCTGCCACATTTGCATACGTTTTCCCATTAAGATGGTGTTCAGCGAATGAAAAAGATGGTAATCTGATGGTGTCATACTTGGAGAATGGTGGGTGGGGAGAACTTCCCAACCGAACTCCATAATCTTATGTTTTGTCAAACGTGCTACATGTGGACCTGCATTGTCAAAGAGAAGAAGAACACTTTTCTGATTGATGAGGGAAGGCAAGAAGATAACCAATTTACACTACACAAAAAATGTGTAGCCAAGCAGAGTCAAAGTAGAATCTACATTCCAGGAAGAATAAGTTGAGTGGACCAGCCTTATAAAAAAAGGGGTAAGTTTTGTGAATACATTGGTAGAACTGATAATGGGATATAGGTGGTGGCATTAATAGATGTCCTGCTCCTGCAGTAGAAGATTCTTGGGGAAGCAGCCCAGATAAGAAATATGAAAGAACATACTCCAGAGGCAGTTGCCCCTCATCATCTATATTTAACTAAGAAGTCACAAACCAGCCAAATTAATGGGAACCTAAGAAGAACCAAAAAGGACCCAATCACTATTATGTAACAATACTCATTCAAGGTAATGAGAAAAATACCAAAGATTCAACTAACGTGACATCAACAATATTACTAAAGCCCAGTACAACCATCAAACTGCATATAACGTACGACTTGTAAAGAGTTATGTAACTTGTCAGAATTATCGCTTTTAAAATAACTAACTTTAAACACTCTTGTTATGAAAACTAAATAATCGTTAAATATTAAATCACTATATGAACTAAATAACTCTTAAACTAAACAGTCTTGTATAGCCAACAAAAAATAATTTGTAGATTGTATAGAAGCTCAACAAGAGCTTTGACTATATATGTAAATATATAGGGAGCCAAAATATGACCAAAAGGCAAGGCTTTGAACTGATAAACTACTCCCTGATGAATAAAGTGAAAACTATGGATGTGAAGATGTGTGAATCAGAATGTGTATATTAGCATCTTTGACATTCACTTTTGTCATTCGAAAACCTATATCAAGGAACTTGTGGAATATTAACATTGGTTCCATCTTGATAGAAGGAATGTCAAGAAACTGACTGAGACAGAAAAATCTAATAGTGTTATCCAATATCCTTGGGTTCCTCAAACAGACAAAGAATAAAACCTCAGGAAAACCAAAAGTAGTATTTCAAAAGTACTGATAAACAGAAGATATGAAACTTCCTAATCTAGATAATGAACATAAGGTTGAAAAAAAAACTGGAAGACTCAATGCAGGATGATGATGGTGGAAGTGGATACAAAAGCCAACTTGAAATACCTGTTGAAACCAATGGTCTTAAAACCATGGAGTCTACAGATGAAGGCAGAAATGCAAACAAGCCTTCAAAGACATTGAGAATGAAGTGTGAGAAACAGATCACAGTTATTGTCTGAGTCTAGAAAGCCCAACCTGGCTGGATCACTGTTTCAAAATGAGAAAGGAATATTAAAGTAGAAGGCTGAGCAGTGGCTAATGCAAATGTATGACAAGTATTGCCTGAATGTCAATCAGTAAAGCACAACCTGAAGTAAGCTTAGAAGCCAGAACCCTAATCAGTTTCTGTTGTTGAGCTTCTCCTGACTGAGAAACCAACTCAGGAGAAATGTCAGAAAAAACAGAGGTTTGCAAGAAAAAGATACATTAAAAATCATCAGCAATATCTGGGGAATAAATGAATTCCATGAAAAACAGCTATATACATATCAAATGAAAATGCAAACCACGTGGCAACAAAATCAAGTCAGTAAAGTGCTGAAGTAAGAAACATGTAGATCTGTGTCTCTCTTGAGAAAAAGAGTCAAGAAAACAATTATAACTTACAGCCAACAAATGGTCAGATGAACAAAGTCTAAAAACCAGCATAATCATGGCACAAAAATATTAATACTGATGGTAATGCAGATGCGAGGGATAATATAAAGCTTGAGCTGATAAATGAATAGAAGATTAGGAGAAGAGAAAGAAATAAGGATTATAAAACAGTATCTTAGCAGCATACTAGAGCTCTCAGATGTAACAGAAATAGGTGCAGATGTAAAACGATATATATACTTAGAAACAAGGAAAATAAATTCAACAGAAGCTTCATTATGACTAGAGCTAGCTTGAAAATCCTGATCCTCAGACAAAGGTGAATAAGCCTTGAGCAAAAAAAAAAAGAACCAGCTTGTTCCGAAGAAAAAAAGAGAGCCACAACCCAATCTACTGGCATCTAAGAAACCCCAATACTTGACAGAGACACCCCAAACAATTTGGCATGAATGGCATTAATACATTGATCTATAAAAACTGACAATGCAGTGATAGAAATTCCCCAAATGCTTATGGAAGACTGCCAAAATAAAGCTTCAACAAAAGGAGCAGATGGACAGGAATAAAAGCAATGAATGAAGCAGGAACAAAACTAGTAGCTTCAAAAGTAACATGAGCTTCAGAATTCATCACAGAAAAAAAGACTGCATGACACAAACAGCAGGACTGTCAATAAGGAAATCTACCTTATGGCAGGAAAGTAAAACTTATGTAAGATCCACTGAAATATCCATAATACGTCATGTAGAAGGTGTGAAAGTGGAGTATTATGGGTAAATGATATATATATATATATATGGTATGTAAATCCAAAAAGGACATTGAAACTTTGGGTCACATGTTTTCTTGACATCATGAACTCAAACTCAAGAAGGTAAGGCTTTCAGTATATTAGAAGTAAGACTGCCTGATTTGTAGTCTATTTTCAAATATATTACTTTTAATATTTGAGAAAAAGTTAGACTAATTGATTCTTATACCTATCAGAATGGTTTAGTCTGATTTTAAAAGTATCTTGTTGCCAATAATGTATATATACAGATATTAAAAATATATTTTGCATGTATCAAACCAATAAACTTTATGATGCTAATCATCCATCAGATGCACAGCTTTACATCTACACATAAAAATATCGTACTGGTGTTATCCTACATGTATAAAAATGCATGCAATATTTATAAATAAAGACACAGTAGAGGTAATGAAACAATTGTTTGTGATTTAAAAAATCTCATGGACACCCTCTAAACTGATGTTAAAAATGAAAAGTTATTTTACCTTTTTTATTAAAATGTCATTATTTGTTTTGATATCAATATTAATAGGAATACCAGGATATTTAGCAAAAATATCCTGAAGAAGAGGAATCTTGCGGTCCTTTCCACCTTGACAACAATGACCTGAAGTGACAAAATACAAAGTCAGAAAAATGGAGTTATTAATAAAACATTTATCAGACTCATTAAGAAAAAATAAAGAAATAACTGTTTACCTGCAAAATTACAAAACTGTATTATGAGTATAATTTTAATGGGAATAACCTTGACAGTATTGTGGAAGTAAAAGTTCTTGGTGTTCTGGCTCATCAGTCTTTTAAACCATCCAAGCAATGTGCTGTTGCTAATGGCAAACAGGATTATAGATTGTATCTACCAAAATAGTGAATACAAGTTTAAAGAAGTTATAATGTCATTGTATAGATCATTGGTTAAGCCATATTTAGAGTACTGTGTCCAGTCTTGGGTTCATTACTCTAGAAAGGACATTGAATTGTTGGAGAGGGTTCAGGAGGGGAGTACTACTAAGATGATACCTAGGATGGAAAGGTTGTCATAGAAAGATAGGTTAAGATCTCTGAACATGTTTTCTTTTGAAAAAAGAAGAGTTACATGGGATCTGACTGAGGTGTTTAAGATTGTTAAGGAAATTGTTAGTGTTGATGGTTAAAATGGTATGACTAGGGTACACAAATATAAATTCTGACAGAGTAAGAATCATCATTGGCTATAACAGCTTTCATTTTCTAGCATTGTGATTGGTCTTTGAAACAGGTTGCCTTCGGATGTGGTGGATGCAGTTAAATTACAGGAGTTTGAGGAAAGCTCCATGAAGCTGGCTTTGACTTTCTTAGTGTTTAGTTTAATTTAGTATATAGGAGAACCTTGTTATCCTTTAATTTATATTGTAAAGCAACTGAAAAATTTAAACTTACTGCTTAAGCAAAATTGAAGATATTAAAGGAGAAAGATAACAATGTCCTCGATCAGTGTCATAAAGGCAAACAGTATTAAAAACAGCAATACTGTAAGATCTATCTTTTGTAGAATGAAATAGTTTTGATGTCTAAGAGAGCCATGTCATTAACAGAATGGCAAGATTGGTAAAAGCGATGAGCAACATGTTCTTTTTTAAGTATTAATAAAAGATTTATGGTTCCTAAAACAATTTTTAAGGGTCATTTTGTTTTGTCTAATGTAATCATGGTAAAATGTTTTACACTGTTATGTAGTTCTTTATGTAGTACAAGTGATCTCTTTCTTGATTTTAAAGTGGTTTGTATGTGTTTGTCAGATAAAGTGTAAATATATTTTATGAACTTTCTGAGGTGGGTGTAATTGATTTAAGTGCAAATCAGAATTTGTTTGAGATTTTTTGTTCCTGTTCTTTGGAAGAAGACAATAGGGAATTTCTAAAAAACATTGTTCTAAATAGTCATGAAAGTAAAGGTGATTAAAATGTTTTTTTTTAGATATGTTCTTAAGTTTTGGATGTAATGTAATTATAAGATAATCTTTGTTACATACTTTAGCAAGATTGTTGAAATATAGTTTCTCATTAAGTGTTGCAGGCTTCTAAAATCTGTCTATCAGTCTCAGTGTTTTCATAGCCTTTTTGTATCATAATTTCTTTTCGCATTTCTATTACTTTGTTGTTTTATATATTTATTTTTTAAGCACAAGTTGTAACCAATGCATATGGCTTGACTGCTGGTAATATTCCATTTAGAGTGGGTAGGTTAGCAAATTTATTAATTATTCTGTCACATAAATTTGAAAAAGGAGCATAATTTTAAAAGGCACAGAGAATCAACTGAAGTATCATTGAAGGAATACTGTCCTCCCCAGATAGTAATCAGCTGTGGCCATTTAGGAACACACACCCAATTGTGCATCATATACCAGAAAAACAACACAAATAAAGATTAAGATAAGTGGATATGGATATAACATACACACAGACAAACAGAAACAAAGATATTTTTGCCAGGTGAGTTGATGAATGTTTCCCTTAATAAAGTATTAGCATTGAAATTAGATTATTACATTGCATAAAGTCACCCCTATATACGAATATTATAAGAAGCATTAAAGGAACACAAACACAACATGTATTGGTGGTAATATATTATTGCACAGAAAAATGAAGTATGGGATAAATACAAACATGATAAATTTTCACCTGTTTTACGAAATGTGTTGATTTGGCAACAGGCAGGAATGCAAAGTAGGCATATTTTCCAAGATTTCAGTAAAAAAGAAAGTGGACTATTCTGAGGGAGGGCAACATATTCCAAACATTAGTGGTTCATGTGATGGACTAAATGTACAAGTCAGTGATTAGAAGGCCATTTTTTTATAAAGATGGTGGCAACAAGAAATTTAATGTGCGTGTGAGGTGGTCAAATATAAACTTACTAGTTTTGTGAAAGAAGTACTTTAGTATGTGAAAATTTTGAAGAGGCTCAATATAACATAATGTTTACAAACAACAAGGGATCTATTGGTCCATCTAGACTGTTCCATCCTCTAAACTAAACTAAAAATATTAAATAAAAAAACCCTCAAATCCAGCCCATATCATTCATATGAGCTGTCTCTTTAAACTCACTTAAATTTACTGCCTCCACAACATCTGAAGGCAACCCGTTCCAAAGGCCAACCAACCTGTTAGAAAAATAAAACTGTCTTAGCTGAACATGACTCCTACTCCACTGAAATCTATATTTGTGTCCCCTAGTCCTACCATTCTCACCATTAAGCAAGAAAAAAAATATGCATAAACACTATCAATTCCCTTAACAATTTTAAACACCTCAATCAGATCCTCTCTAACTCTTCTTTTTTTTTCAAGAGAAAACAATTTCAGAGATCTTAACCTCTCCTTGTATGACAACCCCCATCCCAAGTACCATTCTAGTAACACTTCTCTGACTCTTTTCCAACAATTTAATGTCCTTCCTAGGTAGCCCAAGGCTGAACACAATACTCCAAATGTGGCCTAACCAGTGAGCTATACAATGAAATTAGAACCTCTTTATACTTGTATTCAATATTTCAGTAGATACAACCTAAAATCCTATTTGCCATACCACAGCAACAGAATACTGCTTGAATGGTTTAAGAGAATGATCAACCACTACACCAAGATCCCTTTCTTTCATACCACTGTTAAGGTTATTTCCATCCAAATTATACTTATAATTCAAATTATGATAACCCACATGTATTATCTTGCATTTATTATAATCAAAACCCATCTGCCACTTATTTTCCTAACTCACCTGGAATAGAAATAATGAAATACAGCTACATTCACTTAAGGGAAAGCTATCAGGAAGATTACATCCCTCATGTAAAGCTGCTTTTCCTGAAAAATAGTTTTTTTATTTAATCCATGCAATATGTTCACTTTCATTGGTCATAACTAAAAGTATATTGATAGACCATGCATTCCCAATCAAGAAAGCCAACTAAAAAGATGAAATTCCTTGGGAAAGCAGAAATATAATATTTCGATCCCTGCTCACCAAATGATCTCAGTCCTTTTGTAAAGTAGCAGCATCCTTCTCAGAGTCAACAACACCCAAGACCTTAATATCATCAGCAAATTCAAGTAATATATGGACCCTTCCTTCATCTATGTCATTGATGTAAAACAAAAAGAGCAAAAGTTCTAAGACTAAGCCATGAGGTACCCCACTTGTGACATTAATTGATGATTCCAATAAAGCAGATATCATCAATGTAACATTTTCATGTGGCTTTAGTGTTTTTCCTCTAAATAAATATATTAACAAAATTTGGAGACATCTTGGTACCCAAGCAGTACCAATAGTCTGAATGTAATATTTGTAGAAGTTATTTGGATCAAAACAAATCTGGCTAAGTCAATGATTTTTGACACTTGGACATATTAGATAAATTAAGTGCAGTTTCTAAAACTTCAAGACTTTTATCATGTGGGATATTAGCTATAAAAAGAAGAAACTACCATAGCGCAGAAAGGAATGATATGATGGCAATGGTCCTTTATTACTCATTTCCTTAATCATATTTATGAAATTCTTAGTATATTTAATGTAAGAAGGAGGTTAAATAGAAGTAAAATTTTGGTTGCCATTTTTGTGTTAGAAATGATGGGATGTTCTGGATTATTATTAGGCTTGTGCATTTTAAGTAAAGGTGTAATGATACAGCGATACAATACTTGTATCGTATCGTGAAGCAGTGATACGGTTGTATCGATACATTTTCCAATACGATATCATTCAAATGTATCTTCATGAAATTGGGCAAGCGTCCAGTAACCATTACAAGTATTTTGTATGGAAAAAATCTGAATTTCTAAGAAAGTATGTTTGTTAAAAATTAATGATTCAATAAAGGAAGATGAGTATTGAATACTACATGTTGTTTTCATTTCTTTTATCAAAAACATTACATGCAAAGTAACCTTATAAATTAACAATAACAAAATAGATAGACAGATATTAACTATTTTTATTTTATTTCTCTTGCCAGCTGCCCTAATTTTAAGTAATAAGTAAAATCTCCTTCAGTAAGTCTGTTTGGTGTCAAGTACTGGAAGGTTTTTTTTGTCAATTTGTTTGATTTGAAGGAGTTATTTCAATTTACCATTGAAGGAACTTGTGTCAAACAATGTTGTAGGATCCAGTATATATTTTTAACAAATTAGTGTCCTCAAATTGGTGATTAGATTCACTAATGTAGTTATTTTTTAAGTGGCAAAAAATGACTCCACAACACCACCACCTTTGTCAGGTAGTTTTATAATAATATTTGTGTCAGATTTAAGGTTCTTTAAGAGTGTTTTTTCAAGATAAACAGTGAATTACAGCTGGAACTACAGGTTTGTTTAAAACTATTTGTGGGCAACAATTTAGAATTTAAGAGACTGATGGTGTTGAAATTGGTTTGCAAAATTAGATTTTTGCCCCATAGAATAACAGTCTGTTGTAGTTTATTTGTGTATGAACACTATATCCATGCTCCAAGCATCTAACAGAATGTTTTTAAACCTATTTATAATTTGTACAGAAAGCCAAATAAATTATAGTATACTTTTGGAACATTCTATTCTAGTGATTGATGCATTTTTTTGTTAAAAAATTTGAAAGCTACACAAATTCTTTTTTAGACACCCATACTTGTGAGACTCAATGACAGTTTGGGAAGAATTCAAATGAGTGATTACTACTAGTCCTTGTTTTTTATGTATATATATTTTTAAGAAAAGTAAAAGGTATTTTTAATATGCTGTTTATTCCATGTCTTCTGGAAACAGCTAACGAGCTCTCACTGATTCATTGCTTTTGATGGGAGGATTCCTGATAGTAGTAGAAAGTACAACAACAAAAGCAAAAGTAACTAAAATGTAAAAATTAGAAACTTCTCAGTTTAGTGTAATAAAACTTTTAAAAATTCACAAGTTTGAGACTAAGCATATAGCACATGCATATTTCATGTGCTGTTCATTGTAGATGTACCAGAAACATCTAATGGACTTATACTGTGATTTATTGCTTTTAATGGGAGGATTACTGCTAGTGAGTACAAAGTACAACAATTAAACCATAAGATTAAAAGAAAACAAATGTGAAAAGGTCAACATTCAAAACTGTGATTAGAAGTAATTTGAAACCTTCTGACTGATACTGCATTTAGTACAGAGTAAAAAAAAATGGTATTTGTTGGATATACAAAACAGTTAATATAAGAGTTATTATTTAGTTCATTTAGTGGTCTAATAGTTAATGATTATTTAGTTTTCATAACAAGAATGTTAAAAGTAATTATTTTAAAGGCAATAGTTACAACAAATTTCACTATGTAACTCGGTAAGAGTCGTACGTTGTGTATGCTTAATTGTTCTAGGCTTTTATAGTGTTGTTGACATTATCTTTCGTGAAACTTTTCTCAATATATTTAGTAATGTTGCTAACAGAGAGATAGGTATTTCTTGATTTTTCTGTTGCATGTTATAAATACGTGCAGATACAGTTAGCAAAGTTAAGTCAGAAAACATTAAGTTATTGAAAGTGAAGTTAGACTGTGTGATTGTTAGTTTAGCCATAACGGGCAATATTTAAAATGAGTTTCACAGTTATACTGTAATAACAGAGATAAAAGAGAATAATTTGTCTTGTCAAGGGGTGTTCTAAAGTAAACTGAACCCGCCTGTGTGGACTTTGACAAAAAGGAGACAATTATTTAAAGTTCTGGATATGACTGTCATAACCCATCGAAGTAACATAAGTGAATATATCACTGATTCTATTGTGATAAAAGAATAGAGAAGAATAATTTGTCTTATCAATTGGTTTCTGAAGTAACTGAACCAGCCTGTGTGAACTTTTGATGTAAAAGAGAATTACTTAAATTCTGGATACAACTGAGGTAACCCATGGGGTAACATAAGTGAATTTATAGCAGACTGTACAGCACAAAACAGAGTAGAGAAAAATAATTTGTCTTGTCAATTGGGTACTAAAGTAATTGAACCAGCATGCTTGGATTTTTGACAAGAAAAGAGAATTGTTTAGAGTTTTAGATACAATTGTGATATTCTATAATGTAAAGAATTTTTGTACATATGTTTAACTTGTTTTGAATATATTATTTTAAAACAAGTGGATTGCATGCTGTCCATTTATTGTTTGAATTTATAATGAATCACAGACACCTACTGTAAAGAATCTGGCCCAATAAAAACCTGACTGTATTAATCATATTATTTCACGTTTCTCAACTTTTCATATCACTGTACATTGATTATTTCTTTGCAGTTAGTGTGAGGGTAAAAAAGTAAAAAATAAAAGATAAAAAGTTTTACAAAATTAAAAAAAAAACTTCTGATATTCATTTAGGAGATTCTAGAGGTTATGAAAATGAAATATGAAAAAGCACCATTTTTTCTTAGTATAAAAGTAACTTATCATTCAGACTGAGTCAGTAAAGGCTTTAGAAATTCACAATGTTTACAAAAAGCTTGCCACATTTGTAAAAACACACATAGGAAATTCAGAGTTTTATTTTCCTGAATATGGACTTGGTCAATTTGGCCTGCCTTCATACTTTGAGGTTAGCACCCTAGTGGCTCAATGATAAATCTAAAGGCTTATAATGCTAAAACCTGTGGTGGGCACTATACAGACAGCCAGCCCACTGTATAGCTTTGTGCTTAATTACAAAGAAACAAACAAAAACTTATAAGATAAATACTACTAAAAACATCATCTAATTATTACCATTTGTAAAGTCCACAGGAAGGATACATTGCAGAGATGGTATATCCTAGTGGTGATAAAAATAAAATAAATATTGCATAAATTAGAAAATTAACAACAACTTCAAACATTATACATGTTTATAGTTTAAAGACACTTGCTGGATTGTTATTAAATAAGCTCATCCATCCAGACAATAGATCACTTACAAATTCAATGATGTTCACACATTTTAAATACACAAAAATAATCAAATAAAGCTAGGAAAAGAAACAGAATTTAATAAGCTGAGTTTTCTCTGTTATATCAATATATAACATGTGCATTAGTTATAAACTTCTTCCAAAAAAGCAGTTACTACAACTGGAAAAATAAACTTGTTCTTACATCATAGTTTATGTCTGAAATATTTATGCCACACCCTGCTAATCGAAGTAAGTTGTTATCATGGGAAACAACAACTTGTCCATCTTTGGTAAGCTGCACATCTATCTCCAGCATGTCAGTTCTTTGGTTCACAGCACTAGAATTATCATTAAATTATAAAAAACATGTATTATAGAACTTACTGATATGTCACAATTTTGCATTTAAAACTTTAAAAATATTGTTTTGAGTCACTCTTCTTTTTTATGTTAAGTACAACAACACAACTCATTCACCTTGACTAAAAATTAAAGTAAATCACATGTACTGACTTCTTGATTACAATATATTTTTTTACAGAAATGAAGCATGTTTTTGTATTAAGAAATAGATATGTATACATATAAACAAAATTGACATATAACACCATAATAAGTATTTAATGTAATCTATAATATAAGGTACAGACATTTTTAAAGCTTCTGTAACAATAAACAGCCAAAAGCTCATCATATTCATCTGTATAATCTAATATTTGCTTGTTTAATATTTCGTATTTCTACTTCAAGGTAGTAAACATCATAAAAGCTATAACTGCTACATCATAACTAACAAGAATAATTACTTGATATTTCATGTGCAAACACATGAGGAAAAGTTTGTCTCCTACAAAGATTAGTGGTCAATACAGTCCAATCAATAAAGATTCCATGTGGAGAAAAATATATATATACAACTGCTAAGGTCACAACTTAAAACAATGAAAGGTACAATAAAAACTAAGACGTTTACTCCCTAAAAATAATACAAATTCTCTGAAGGTTAAAATAAAAATGCAATGCTACAATACAGAAACTTAAAGAGTTCATATGCTCTTGACAGATATAGAATATTCTATGTAAGAACTACAGAATAAACCAGTAAGAATATATATATGGTTTCCTTGGTTTATATGTATCACGAAAATACTTTTATATTTGTTATTATATATTTATTACTGATTTTAAAAGCGCCATCTAATGAAATTTAATTCTTTAAATTGTGCAATTAAAATAACTTGGTCATCACAACATTAATTATTCTTTTAGCCTTGAAGGAAGCATTCTAGGTGAAGCTGATGAAGAAAAACACATTGCATATTTATCAAATAGTTTTTAAGCTTTCTAGACCATGCACATTAGCTAATAATAAGGCAAACAAAAGTTGAGTTTCTATGCATAAAACACACGGAGTACAAGTTGGAGGGGGTCATCATTACACACTTTAAAGTAGTTGTTGAACTAAGCTTCAACTGAAATGTGGCATTAAGGCTACCTTATTCAAGAAAGAATGTTGTTTATTTGTTTTGAGCGCCCTAACCACCTGGCCATGCTGGGCCCAAAGGATGTTGAGTTGTTGAAGAGAGCTCAGTGGTTTGGAGAAGTTATCATAAAGGGGGTAAAATGATACCTCATGATTGAGATTTTAAAGATTGATAGAGGTTTGCAATACATAAATCTAGATGATAGCTTCATAAACAGTTTTTGGAAGTAGTTAGCAAAGAGAAAACCAGTTTAACATATAACACAACTAATAAGTTTGTCTGTCTATGAAATAATTTGACTTCAGGTGTAGTAGAAGCTGTAACAATGATGAAGTTTAAGAAGAAATTGATAAGTATCAAGGATATCAGGATATAAGAAGTGGTTTTCTATATGTGGCTCGAATTGAAGTTGGATAGCCTAGATGGGCCAAATGGCCCCTTGTTTTCCCTTGGAAATAAAAAAAACAGGTGAAATGGATTAAAAGCTAATTATATATTTAAAAGTTTAAAATAATTTTCTTTCAATTAATATTCAACTTGCTTAAAATGTTCTTATATAAGGTAAGGTAAGGTTTTAATAACTCTGCATATTTTTCTAAAATACTAATGATCATGATTATATAGCACTTCTTTTCATTTTTTAATTCACTTCTGTTAGCAGCATATTCTTGAAACCATGTATTTTGTTTCTTAACTAAATTCTAATGATGCTGTAGTGCATTAAATATGAAACTGATGATACTAACTGTAAATACTGATAAGAGTGTAGTGTTGCTACATGTTGATTCAAATAAAAATGATATGATAATAACTGAATATTATGTAAGAATGTAATACTACTAAATTAGCAGCATACACTTTAATGGGGTTAACTGTAATGCTATCTTATGCATTTTCTGATCAAACAATACTGCTATAAATAATTAAAATTTATGAAATTAATGCAACTAACTATACATTCTAGTAATAAATATAATGCTACTAACTGTTTATTCTGGTTGAATGTCATGTAGGGTTTATAAAGCTGAGCAGTTGCTACAGCCAGGCAGTTGAAATCATTTCCAAGAGAAAAGAAGCTAGTATGTCTTCAAGAAGGAATGGTTATTCAATGTACATTGGTAGTGTGGGTGTTTGAAATACTTTAGCTTGATTATTCATGCTCAAGTTCATTATCTATAGTGGAAAATGGAGAACCAAAAATTAATCACTCTTTGGTACACGCAAATTTTGAAAGGTAAAGCAAAATTACATATCTAGCATTAAGTCCATTATCCAGGGATTTAATTAGAACTAGGGGTTGCAGACCAGCACCCTTGTGTTTGTGCTGGCTGGTTTGGAATTGATTTACTGCTAAAAGTTGAGGAAGCTACGAGTCACTTATAATACTGTAAAATTACAGACAATGCTGCACTGCTTGCATCAGTGGAATTCTATGGAAAAAAGATCATCCATATTTCAGCATGACAACAGACCATACTGTGCTTCACACATCATATCTAGCAGTGGTTTGAGATACATGTGTATAATGTCAAGAATCTACCTTGGCTATCTCAGAGCTTTCAATTCAACTGAACCACTAAGAAACATTTTGTAAAGCTGCTTGAGGAAGAAAAAAAGACAAATGCCAAAATCTGACTATACTTGAAAATGCTTTGTACCAATGGTTGATCACCAAATGTTTAATAAAGTCAATGCTGTGATTATCACTATTAAAATGGAGCTAGAATGGGAAAAGACAACAAGCCTTTTCCAGGGTGTGCCATCCCAGTATTTTTAGTAATACAGTGTACATTCTGATGAGTTTGTAGTAATATTAACTGTATATTCTATTGAGATAAAAGTGTCACTAGCCACGTATTTTGATGAGGCTTTAGTTCTACTAACTGTATTCTGATGAGATTACAGTGTCACCAGCCATGTATTTTGATGAGGCTTTAGTTCTACTAACTATATTCTGATGAGATTGCAATGTCACCAGCTACGTATTGTTATGACAGCGGAAGTCACGCAACACTGGGAGCATGCACACTGGAGTTTCTAGAAGGATCATAAATTATTGAAGAACTCCGCGAATGTCCTAGTGTTTGCCACGCACCCTCTTTTTAGTATATAAGCCTGGCGAGAAAAATCAGTGCGAGGGCAGAGATAGATAGATTGAAGAGATAGATAATTGAGTCAAGGGAACAGTAGGCACCATAAGTGAAGTCTGTAAATCGCTGTGATTTATAGCGTGTGTTATAAAGGTTGTTAAGTTTAAAGTGGCTGTGGA